AAAATAAAGTTAAATAACTTGCTAATTATGCAAGTATATGATCTAAAAATGATATGATATAATCATCAAGAGATAAGATTTCATATAGTCAAGTCAAGGACATAAGTTAATTAGTAAGTTTTTGAGTTATAAGCCAAGTCCTTAGGTGTGGAAATATTTTTGTCACCCACCTATATAATGAATTAATAAATTGTTATATATAATATTTATTATATACTTATATGTATTGTATATTTTATAAATATATAGAAGTTAAAAGGTCATAGTAATTTACAATTTTCTGGAATTATACTTTTTGGATTCGATTTAGAATGTTTAAAAAGACGTCGAAACCAGGATCAAATATTTTTTAAAACTCAATTATGAAAAAAACTATTTCACGAACTTCAATCTGAATCACAAAAAAATAAGCATCTTAAAACCTTGGCTTATAATATTTGTGATAGAATTGAGTCTGCAGTTCAATTACATAACTTTCAAAATACTGTATTAAAATCTATAGAATTAAATGTAAATGATTTACATGTTAATTTTCAAAACTTAAACTCTGAAAATCCTCAGTAAGATCAATTTTTAGATTTGATTGCTTGCACCTGTGACAAGTTATTAATTTCTCATGACACATATCATCAGCTTGCAGCTATCATGCCAAAAATGGCATGTGAATATAAAATTGAAAAACGTTAGCAAGAGATAACAAGAATTATGAATCAGATGATTCCAATTTACATGATTCAAGTTAATTCTGTAACTTTGAATAGAGCTTATAGATCACTTAGAAATATTTTATTTATTATAATTCCTAAATTAACAGATGAAAAACCAGCAGTATTACAAGTAGGAGACGTTATTCATATTAAATTAAGTGGAGATGGGTAACAAGTCAAAAAATACTATAATCAAGTAATGCTAACTGCGTGTATATTAAATGAACATGATATGGTTTTAAACTCATCCAATCAACATTGTATTTTTCTTTATAATGGTACAGAACAATATGAGTCACTTCAAAAAACTTTTAGTTTTTTAATTGACGAGTTAGAAACTTTAAATAGAGAAGAAATCATTGACTCAAATAACAATTATTGGAAAATCAAATTTTGGTTCGGTCCTGATTGAAAATTTATGTCCTTAATTCTTGGTACTAAAAGACCAATGACAGATTATTTTTGTTTATATTGCGATTGCAAAAGCACAGACCATTGGAATATGGATAAAGATTATGAAAATTCATGTAATACTCGGGACGAAAGAATTCAAATTTTTTACCTTTTATAGAATAACAACATAGTGTACCAGATGAATTACATATAATGCTTCACATTACTGATATTTTATTTGAATGTCTTTTTTTTGAATTATCAATTAAATTGACATTTAATAAAAAAAAAACAATGAAATAACAATTCGCGAATGAATAGAATCTACTATTTATTCTCTAAGTGTCAACATTTTTAAGTTCAGGGAACCTGAAATACCAAAAGCAAAATGGCATTGGACATCGCTAATTGGATTGGATAAATTAATAATCCTAAAAAAATTTTTTGTAACTTCATTTATTTTAGATGAACGAGGAAAGAAATACAAAAACTCTGGCATGATTTTTTTTTTTTATATAAAACAATGCTAAAGCTGATTTAACAGATGAGAACATTGTTAATTTTGAGCTTTTAGCATGACAATGGATTAGAAAATTTTGTCAACCAACAATCAAAAACAAAGAAGGAAAACTTCTACAAGAAGGACTCTATCAATGTGATGATGTTATCCCCTATATGCATGTGCTTGCATGTCATATTCCAAAATTTATGAAGTTTCTCAAAACAAAGAATCTATATCTACGATGGTTTTCGTGTTCAAGTGTAGAAAAAAAAAATCACACCCATGTTCAATTATTTTATAGAGGTACTACAATAGGTGACGGCAATTCTTTAAACTCTGTAACCTATGACATATGCTCTTATGAAAATAGACAACTTTATTATTATATCAATGAAACATCTTTATCTTACAATAAAAAGATTATAAATCTTAAATAATAAAATCTAAATCACAACTACATTGCGTTTACATATTTTTAAATATAAATTTTAAAACCCCATATGTCCAAGTATAAACTTCCTCATTATGTTCTTCATTAGTCGTTCGCTCTTTCCAAAGAAAGACAAGCTCAGTTTCAGCATTTGTTGTGTTTCAAGATCTTTTTTTTCAGTCATTACTCTAACCTCACTTCCTGTCTTTGTTGTTTTTTCACCCCAAGCAGGATGCGTGAAGATATACCCAATTCTTTGGTACCCATCTTGTCCTTTATATGTGCATTTATACTTTCGTTGGGCCACCTGGTATTCAAACCCTGGTTCCTGGTGAAACACATAATAAAAAAGGTTTTCAGGACAATGCACGGTGAATTGTTTGGAGCCTTGAGCTGAGCGGTGAGTATGAAGACGAGACTTTACATTCACAAGAAAGATGGACCGGAATTAACACAGACACCAGCTTGAAGGAAGTTCAAAACAAGTACCGTGAGGCACAATACGGTTATGTGAATGTTTCCTTGCTTCGTGAGACAATAAAGAATTTTTTGTCAAATAGGTTTTAGAGCACAAAAGACAAAAAAGGTTTGGACAAAGACATTACGTATGATCATCGGATTAGTGTAACCATGCAGATATCACATTCTTATATCACACCAAATGAGTCCGATCCGCCCATATGAATTTTTAAATATTATTTATATGCGCATGTGACGTAACAATTGTGTAATACACGTGATTAATAATTCTTCACTAGGTATTTTAATCAGTGCGGTACGGTATTCTTAAAGTGTTATAGAAACCTATCTCTTTTCTAGTTTCATTTCTTGTCTTTTGTTAAGGTATAAATAAATTCTTTTACGTTTTTACTAACACAATAAATTATTAATTGGTTTGATAGGATTTCATTTTATTTATCATATTTATTGTGTTAATCTCCATTTTATTTATCATATTTATTATGTAATGGTCTATTTTATTTATCATGTTTTATTATAGTTTTTTTTTAATGAGATATATGATTATTCAAGATTTATTTCATTACGGGGCTGGAGCTGAATATCAACTCAATTTAGTACGTAGACATAGCCTTAACTTCGGCTAAATTAACAAAAAGAAACTTTGCTTAGTGATTTCATGGCCACAATCACATTGTTCATTGTAATCAGGGACAAATAAATAGTTCCACTATCAAATCGCAATTTTTTATTATGATAACGTTAATTACTCCATTTTATTCTGATATCATAGATGATTTACGCTTTTGATATTACTAATCATGTAGTAATTGACCAATTAAAACTTGCATCTAATGCATCTTTCCCCAAAAATTCCCTTTTATTCAATTAACCGGCAAAAAATCCTTTAAATACGTATTTATTGTAATTTACGTATCGTTATATCATTGATTCATTCGTGGGTAATCGAGTCGATCCATCGATTTATGGGCTAGATTAGATGCAATAGGGTTTGAAAAATATGTACGTATTGCATGTATGTAACGTACAGCAGGTACAGTGGTTACATGGCTGCACAATGCATCGACTAATTGTTAAGTACGTACGTACGTACATACATATGTACGTACATACTTTTTCTTTTCTTTCTTTGAATCAAAATGGCACACGTAAAGCAGCCAGAAAAAATCTGCACACCAAGTATTACTCAAATATCCAACGAACTTATCAAATTGTATTTAGAAGATAATAAGTCTCAAGACTTTCGTAATGAAATTATTAAAGAAATGTGCGATCTTTATAAGAAAGAAAGGTTGAAAGGAAAAAATTCCAGTTTAGTTTTTGGCACAATAGAACAATTTCTATTAAAAAACAAACAAAATCCAGATAATATAATCAATTATTGCTTAGATAATCAATCTGATTATATGATTCTAACCATTCTTGCAAATTGCTATCGTTACGGTAAATGGGTCGAAAAAAATGAACATAAAGCATTCGAATATTATCAAAAATCTGCTGATATGGGATATTCTGATGGTTTATTTTTCGTTGGAGTCTGTTATGAGAGAGGAATTGGAGTTGAAAAGGATGAAAACAAGGCATTCATTTATTATCAAAAATCTGCAGAGAAAGAGGATATTAGTGGAACATATAATGTTGGATGTTGTTATCTTCATGGAATTGGAGTTGAAAAGGATGAACATAAGGCACTCATTTATTATCAAAAATCTGCAGAGATGGGTCATGCTAGTGGAACATGTAACGTTGGATATTGTTATGAAAATGGAATTGGAGTTGTAAAGGATGAAAATATGGCATTTATTTATTATCAAAAATCGTCAGAGATGGGGCACGCTAGTGCAGCATGTAACGTTGGTTCTTGTTATCTTCATGGAATTGGAGTTGAAAAGAATAAACATAAGGCATTCATTTATTATCAAAAATCTGCAGAAATGGGTGACGTTAATGGAACATATAAAGTTGGATATTGTTATGAAAATGGATTTGGAGTTGAAAAAGATGAACATAAGGCTTTCACTTATTTTCAAAAATCTGCAGAGATGGGTCATATTGTTGGATTACATGATGTTGGGTATTGTTATGAAAATGGAATTGGAATTGAAAAAGATACACGTAAGGCATTTATTTATTATCTAAAATCTGCAGAGTTGGGGAAACCTAACGCAGCATATAATGTTGGATCTTGCTATCTTAATGGGATTGGTGTTGAAAAGGATGCACGTAAAGCATTCGAATATTATCAAATATCAGCAGAGAGAAGACACGCTAGTGGAACATTTGCACTTGGCAACTGTTACCTTGAAGGAATTGGTGTCGAAAAAGATCAATATAAAGCATTCGAATATTATAAAAAATCTGCAGATATGGGGCATGGTTATGGAACATGCAATGTTGGATATTGTTATGATGAAGGAATTGGTGTTGAAAAGAATAAACATGAGGCATTCATTTATTATCAAAAATCTGCAAATATGGGGAATATTTATGGAATGCGCTATGTTGGAGATCGTTATCTTCATGGAACTGGAGTTGAAAAGGATGAATATAAGGCGTTTATTTATCATCAAAAATCTGCAGAAATGGAGATTGCTAGTAAAATGTCAAAAGCTGCATAAAGTTGTCGAAATTAAATTGGATTAACAAAAAGTCAAACGTTTGATATCGAGAGTTGTGCATATATATTGTGACGATCTTCAATAAAATTGATGTGCTGCAATCTTATGCACTGCAAGTAATAGGGCGTATCTAGCCCTTTACACTTTTTAAGTCCAGATAGGATTAAAATTTAAATTTTACATTTTATACTACACATGAATATTGAGTGAGATAGAAAAAAAAACTAATAAACAAGAGACAATCTATTATAAATCAAATGGCGCGTAATTTCTTTATTATTAATCTAGCCCAGCAATGTCAACTTCATTAAATTTAAATGTCAATAATTGTCGCGGCTGATGCTGATGCTGAGATTTGGGTCTCAATTCAAGTCCACCAAACCTACTTCTTTCATTGACAATTCTAACCATGAATCCTTACCTAACCAAAGACAATGCACCCAAAAAATTTTAAAATTTCATATCAAAATAGGGTCAATTCTCAGCATCAGCAGCAATAATTTACAAATTTGCAATACATAATTGACTTTAGAATTATCTCTTAAACGGTTTTGAGGTAAATTTCATGATTGTTTGGCGATTAAGCTACAAATTATATTGACTGTAGTCTATATTGTAGCAGATTTTGAAGTTAAATTGACTGTTTAAGGGATAAAAGCAAAATTTTTATTACAGTAAACTGATAATTTTATCATAAATATGTCATAAGGGGCGTTCTCAAGCATCTCTTTCAATGAATTAGATAAAGAACCTGATTGGTCAGTTTGATCAGATAGACCAATCAGATTCTTTGCTAAGCCCATTGAGGAATGTGATTGAGAACGCCCAAGATCGATTAAAACTATTCATGATAAAGTTATGTGGGTGATTATGCTGAAATTTTTCATATTTTATTATAAAATTGTAAAATTTTTTAGGGCCTTTTTTGTGGTCTTTTTTTTCATAGTTACGTTAGGGTTAGGGAGTAGTATTTATTAATAAAAAAGTATATGTGAATTTTAGTAGGTTTTATAGATTTAAAAAGAGACCCCAATTTTCAGCATAATCCATTTTCAGCACAATTTATTATAGATACGATTGATGGATCGATTTACAAAATTATCTTTGTTAAACCACTATTTCTAACTACAGTCAGCTCTCAAAGTGCAACCTCTTTAAACGCAACTTCTCTCTAAATGCACCTTTAAATTCTAGTATAAATGCAAATTTTAATTTTTATAAACGCATATTTGCTAAAAGCCTGGTCTCAACAAATTATATTTAAAAGGAATTAACTATAATGCATATTTAGAAGAAATAAAATAGAACACACAACAAAAAAATGTTGAGAAAATTATTGCATAGTAGATTTCATTGTGGTAACTTTAAAATCGCTAAATAAGAATAGTTAAAATATTTTTATTTCACTCATTCCGTATTCTTGGAAGATGTTTCGCTTCCTTTACATTTTAGATTATCCAATTTTTGGGCTAGTATAAAATTGTTTAATTGGCAAAAATAGAATACAATCGATTCTGGATATAATGAACCTTCCTATAACAAACTCTAGATATAACGAACTTGAAATTTTGAAATTTCATAATAGTTTAGCATACTGTAAAAGTGCAATGGGTCCTTAAAAAACAGCAATTTTTTTATAACACCTTTTTCTTCCAAAATCTTTAGTTCATTATAAAAAGAGTATACTGTATGCTACACCATTTTGGTGAATTTTGGTCTTGATCATACTCGTGGTTTATGTTCATTCGTTTTCTATTCAAGATATTTCGGAACTGTCTCATTTTTTTTTAATGCTGGCCAAAATTTACGTAGGCTATTAGCATGCGTATTAATTTTCTACACAGCCTACATGTGTCCCATCTAATGATGAATGATGAATGACTAAATATTCGTTATTGATGAATAACGAAACCATTTTGTCAGACAACTTTTAATGTTATATGTAGCATTTTGGCGTAATAGATGATTTTTCTCTTAGGGTTCATTGAAAAGTTAGCAAAATGATAACATACATATAACGATAAACTTTCGGGCATACCCGACATTACCCGATGAGCCGCATTAATCGCCCGGATGTTTCCGATAGATACTATCGGTATTCATATTCAATCTAATGTGAATTAAAATTAATTTTATATGAATCCATTAATTTTTATGGTGTTAACTTTTGGGAATTGATATTTATACCCCCATTTTGAAATTCATACCCCCTATTACAGTCTCAGATTAGAAAATTCTCGAGACTTCTATATAAATCGTCTTTACTAATAGTGTATCAATTTCCTTATTTGGTAATATACGAGACGTATTAAACAAAACGTACTCCAAAATAGATATTGTTATTAAGTAAACCTCTTTAGTAGTCTTAAGTAAAGTTGTTCCTTATACTTTTTTGATTCTAATGGTAGTAAAATTATTAAAATTGGATTAGTAGTTTTATTAAAAGTTAATTACTATTTTGTTAAATTTAAATATAAATAGTGTAACTTTTTTTATAACGACTTGACGACTATTTAATAGAAAAAATTCGTTGTCAAAAAATTGTCGTGCTAATATGTCTGACAAAATTTACGAAATAACTA